GGGGGTTTCACCCATGTTGGCCAGGCTAGTCTTAAGCTCCTGACCTCAAATGATGCTCCTGCCTCGGCCTCCCAAAGTGCTGGGATTATAGGCGTAAGCCACCATGGCCTGGCCAGCTTTTATTTAAGAATTGTTTAAGGCCAGGTGCAGTGGCTCCATGCCTATAATCCTAACACTTTGGAAGGCTGAGGTGGGAGGATCACTTGAGTCCAGGAGTTCGAGACCAGACTGGACAACATGGCAAGACCCCATCTCTACTAAAAATTTTTTTAAAGGCTGGATGTGGTGGCTCATCCCTGTATCCCAGCACTTTGGAAGGCCAAGACAGAGGATTACCTGAGCCCCAGGAGTTTGAGATCAGCCTGGGCAACATGGCAAGACCTTGTCTCTTTTATAATAAATTTTTTTTTTTTTTTTTTTTTGAGACGCGAGTCTCGCTCTGTGGTCCAGGCTGGAGTGCAGTGGCCGGATCTCAGCTCACTGCAAGCTCCGCCTCCTGGGTTCACGCTATTCTCCTGGCCTCAGCCTCCCGAGTAGCTGGGACTACAGGCGTCCGGCACACCGCCCGGCTAGTTTTTTGTATTTTTTAGTAGAGACGGGGTTTCACGCGTGTTAGCCAGGATGATCTCGATCTCCTGACCTCGTGATCCACCCCGTCTCGGCCTCCCAAAAGTGCTGGGATTACAGGCTTGAGGCCACCGCGCCCGGCAATTTTTTTTTTTTTTTTTTTTTTAACTTTAAAAAAATTAACCAGGTGGGGTGGTGCATGCCTGCAGTCCCAGCTACTCAGGAAGCAGAGGCAGGAGGATCACTTGAGCCCAGGAGGTTGAGGCAGCAGTGAGCTATGATCACACCACTGCACTCCAGCCTGAACAACAGAGCGAGACCCTGTCTCAAAAAAGAAAACAAACGAACAAGGATTAAGATCCTGAATTCCAGCAGAAGGGCCAATTTGAAGACCCTCAGAGAGGAACCGATTCAACATGAGAATGCAGTTTATTTCTGCATGCACTCTTCAACCAATTAACAATTCCCACACCTTGGCCACCCCACCCCAAACCCCACAAAACCCCTAGCCCCAAACGCTTCCCCATGATGATGAAACTCTTTCGCTACTGCACCCGTGGTGTTGGTGTGTCAACTTGCTGGACCTTGGGCAACACACCGGTTAGGGTCACAGGACCAGCTTTCGGAGGGGCCAGGGAAGTCTCCAAACCCTAAAATGAAATCCTACCTCCAAGTTACAAAGCGCCTAACCATACCCTCTCCATTTCCTCTGGCAGAAAGGGGCCCACTGAGGACCCTCACCTGGGGAGAGGAAGGGAGTAAAAGGAAGTTCAGGGAGGTACCACCAGGTAGCAGAAGGGAAGAGGGAGGGACGGGAGGTGAGGGGAGGGGAGGGGAGGGGAAGGGAGGGCCAGCAAGAAGAGTTCAGCTCTCTATGTGTGTCCCTTGAGGGGAGAGTCTAGGGTCTGTGCCACTTCTGATATACAAACTCACTCACTCACTCATTCATTCAATACACTTTTATTGAGTCCCAGGCACTGTGCTGAGTGCTGGGAGGACACAAGCCCTGTTCCCAGGAAGAGTCTAGTTTTCTTCATGGATACATACAAAATGAATCATTTGGAAAGGGCTATGAAGAAAATCAGACACAGGAAAGGATTGGAGTTGTTACTACTCTACACAGAGCCATGAGGTGGGCCTCTCTGAGGAGGGTCCCCTTGAGCTGGTTAAGGCCTGAATGAGAAGAAGCCTGTCGATCGTTGGGGACAGCAGCTGGAGTGGGTTAAGGAGTGGATCTGGGGAGAGCTAAAGAAGATGGTGGGATGAGGGAGGGGCTGCCGGACCACAGTAAGTTCACATTTTAGTCTCAGGTTGTTGGAGCCCTAGAGACAATCTAGTCCAACCTCCTTCCCTCCTTTTTTTAAAAAAGGATGGGACCTTGCTATGCTGCCCTCACTATGTGGCATGATCATAGCTCACTGCAGCCTCCAGTTTCTGGGCTCAAACGAGCCTCCTGCCTCAGCCTTCTGAGTACCTGGGACTACAGGTGCACACCGCCATGCCCAGCTAATTTTTAATTTTAATTTTAATTTTTTTTTAATGGAGTCTCGTTCTGTTGCCCAGGCTGGAGTGCAGTGGTGCGATCTCGGCTCACTGCAACCTCTGCCTCACTGGTTCAAGCTATTCTCCTGCCTCAGCTTCCTGAGTAGCTGAGATTATAGGTATGCACCACCACGCCTGGCTAATTTTTGTGTTTTTAGTAGAGACGGGGTTTCACCATGTTAGCCAGGCTGATCTCAAACTCCTGACCTCAGGTGATCCGCCCGCCTCGGCCTCCCAAAGTGCTGGGATTACAGGCGTGAGCCACCCTGCCTGGCCTAAATCATTTATAGAGATGGGGTCTTACTATTTTGTCCAGGCTGGTCTCAAACTCCTGGTCTAAAGCTATCCTCCCACCTCAGCCTTCCAAAGTGTTAGGATGACAAGCATGAGCCACCATGCCTGGTGCAAGCCCCCATTTCATAGATGGGGAAACCTTCCTCAGAGAAAGCAGGAAGCTGTCAGGGTGACCAGTGGTTGGTACTGAGCCTGGCCTCCTGCAGGACTCCCAGGCCAGGATACCAACTCTCGCTGCCTCTTCTTTGTCTGTCATACGCATCTCTGGTTCCATCTGACCAGACTGTCGGTTCCCCTGGCCCCTGCTGTGCACCCCAAGGCCATTCTCCTGTCTGTCAGCCTGGTCTCCCCTGCTGTCTGACTGTATCTTTGGTCCAGTCATCTCTCTGCTGCTGCTGTTCTGATGATAGATGAGGTTTCAAGGCTCTGGCAAACAAGCCTGTCCATGAGGAGCGAGGGGAGATCTCAGCTACTTCCCAAGGCCCCCCACCAGCCCAGCGAACCCAGAGCCTTGGGGCTGGATGCCAGCATCTCTTCAGGTCCTGCTCCTGGCTGCCCTTCCACTGGTCACAAGGACTCCACCATCAATCAGGTCAGGCTGCCCCTCCTCAGCAACTCTCCCCCAGAATGTCCTTCTCCTACATCTGGCCTCCCCAGACGCCTGCTTCCTCCTCATACATCCTCCTGCCTGTGAAATCCAGCCTGACCTGTGAAAAGGGCACTGGACAGCAGCAACAGCTGCTGCCTCTGCCTTCTTACAGATTCCTAAAGTCTAACCTCAATCCCTCCTGCTACAGAAAAAGTGCATTTCTCCTGGCTCAATCTCTGTCAAAGCCAAGAAGACAGGGTGGCCTCTAAATAGAAAAGTGATTCAAGTCTCTGCCGGCCCCACTCTTCCTGGTCTCCTCATCTGTCTACTACCCCCACTCTACTCTGAAGGGGCAGCCTTCAGCCAGGCCCGGATCTGGCTACTATCTCCCAGCCCATCCTTGTTACCTCCCAATTCCCCCTTCCCCGGCCCTCTCCATGGTCCACCCTACCCAGCCAAAGGTTCAGAGCCTCCCCTCATAAACTCCGTGACACCCAGAGTTCAGAAGATCACACCAGGTTGGGGATTGAAAGGAGTCCAGAAATTATTCATCACATATCCAGCTCTGTCCTGTTTACCTTGATTTTTTAAAAGTATCAGTTACCCATAAAGATCCTAACAAATATGAAAAGGAAAGGCAATTACAAAAGATCCTTCATTATTCCACACACAAGAGTCAAAGATTTTGCCAACATCCTCACTTTATAAATGCAAAAATAGGTCCAGAGAGGGAAAGTAACTTGCCTAAAGTCACACAGCAAGTGAGATGGCAGGACTAGAAGCCACGTCTCTGGTCACCCTCTGTGTGGTCTCCCTGAAAACTGGTGGTTCTTACCAGCAGTCTCTCGACACATCAGCTCCACTGCCCTCTGCCCACACCTCCCACTGTCAGTCTCCTTCCCTTCCCACCCCCACATACTGTTCTTCTCAACAGGGACCCAAGTCTGTCTCACCTACATACTGGGACCATTAAAGTGAAGAACATTGCCACTGCCACTGTGCCTGGTGCCAGCACACCCCTGAGACACAGCAGGTCAACCACAGCACTCACCTCAACAGCCCTCCCTCACCCCACCTGATGGGCACCCATGCCAATGATGCACAGGTCTCTGTCTTCTTAATCATCTCTGTTGAGGGGCCAGGCTGCAAATGACCCATCTCCCCAACCCCAGAGAAAGTCTAGGTGCATAGGAGAGAAAGGAGACTATGAAAATGAGTCTTCCTTTTATACCATGAGGGATTCCAGGTAGATCTCAGAAAGGACTTCCAGGTAGGAGAGATGAGTTTGGAGAACTGGTAGGGCGAAGGGAGTGTGCAGAATGGGACGCCTCCCTCCACCCCCTACCCCAGTGCCCCATCTAGAGCCAGAGTAGCTGAAAGCCAAAGGCTGCCGGGGCAAATGGGAGCAGGTGTGAGGAGGGGGACCCTGGAGGCTGGGTGTGCAGGAGCAGCAAGTTGCTTCTTCCTGGGCCCACTGCCTCTCTACTGACACCAAATAGGTAAGAGAAGGTGACCGAAGGGCTGCTGCCTTCCCAGGGAGAGACGCTGTGTCTCCACCATTTCCCTGGCTGCTCCCACCTATCCCTAGCCTGGGTCAGCTTTGGGGTCGGGGGTGTGGCAGAGAAGAGGAAAAGAAGGCATGGCTGGGGCAGGGGCCTCCCAGGCTCCCGTCTCATCAGAATTCAGCCTTGCCTGGGGTGATCAGGGGTCCTGATGACTCTCCAGCTGTCCCCTTTAAGAGCTCATCGCCACACAGAGCCCCCTCTCCTACGGTCCCTGTGTAGGAGAGGTCTGGGCATCGGTGTCTCCACCGTCACTCACACAGCCTATGTGTTTGGGAAAGTGGGGTCCCTATCCACCTGCCCACAGCCCACAGCGCTCCTGGTCTCCTGCGGACAATGCTCCCCTCGCAGACATCGCCAGGCAGTCCACACCTGCCCTTGCCCTCACCTGCCTGCCCGCCCCTCCCCGCCCCCGGCCCACCCAGGCCGGCTCCGGTCAGTCCTACCTGCTCCGGGCTGGGGGCTCAGCGCCCGGGCAGCCTCCCTGAACACCAGCACCAGGAGCCAGAGCTCGCCCCGCATGGTGGGTGCCCGGACCTGCCCCCGGCCTGCTCGCTGCCCCGGCCCTGACGAGGGAGGGGGCCCTGGCTCCGGCTCCGGCCGCGCGGTCCCCGGGGCTGGCGGAGGCGCGGGCGGTGAGGAGACAGCGGAGCGCGGGGCCGGGCCAGCCGGCAGGAGCGGCGAGAGAGCGAGCGGAGCGGGAGGCTGTGGCCTCCGGGAGCAGGCGGGGAGCGGGGGGGGCCGCTGGGTCGGTGGAGGGGTGGGGAGCTGGGGCAGGGGGCGGGGCGGGGGGCGCTGCGTCGTTGGGGGCTCTCCCGGCGCCTGCCCTCAGCCCTCCCGGAGCGCTCCCCTAGAGCTCCTGCAGCCGCTCCAAAGGCAAGGGGTGCAGACTAGGAGACAGGGCGGGAGCCCCTCGGGCTGAGAGAACCCCTAGAAGCATCAGCCGCCCCGCGCGCCTCACTGAGTTCCTGGCTCCCTTTCCCTCCTCGGTTCCGCCGGGAAAGCTGCAGAGAGAAGGCCCGAGGGACTGACCCCTGGAAGGGACAGGCGCCCCCTCCGTGGGCCACGGGCCCCTGCCTGTCCCCCGCCCCCAGCTCCTCCAAGCTCTGCGACTTTCTGAGCTGTTCTTCGGAATTCTGTGCGTCTCTGATGCTTTGTCCTCCCGCCCCCACCCCCAGGAATCTCCTGCAGCAAAGACCCCCAGCTTTTCTCCCCAAGAGGGACCTGAATCCCACCCCCCTCCCATGACTCCACCTTATCCCTCCATCCCCCCATTTCCAGCACCGATTTGCCCCCCAAGCCTGGCAGACATGAGAGTGGAGAGGGCCTGGCTACCCCCTACTCTGCAACAGCCTGGACCCCTCCCCACGAGTAGGTAACCCAGGCCTCCCGCCTCTCTGGGGCCTCCAGGCCTGCTCAGGGCCAGACCCAATCAATCTTCAGAGCCAGCCCCAGACGAGGAAACGGCTCACCCCACCTGCCACCACCTTCTCACAGGCTCTGGGGACAGATCATCTTTTTATTTTTTCTTCCAGGACAGAATAAAAATACCCGCAATGTAGGATATTTAATAGACGGCAAGGAATCAGGTCAGGACACGGAGGTGCCTCTTTCCTCCCCTGACCTACTTGGTTCTTGTGACGGCAAGGAGCTGGGGCGCTGGAGAGTGGGAGACGGGGTGAGGGGGCACCCTGGCTTCTAGTGGGCTGGGGCCTAGGGACTAGAAAACGGCAGAGAGGAAGGGTGTGAACGCTGAGCGCCATTGGAGAAACTTTCCAGGAGGAGGGATACAGGTGGGGACAGGAGAAGGTATACTGTGGGATGAAGAGGTAGATTCCGTGGCACTGAGGTTAAGAAAAAAAAAAAGACCTAAGAAAGGGAACAACTAAAGGCTCTCTAATCTCTTACTCCTTCCGCGGGGCCCAGACTCCCAGAGACTACCTCCTCCAGCCCTAAACCCAATGTCCGCTTACCATGGAACAAGGCAAGGCCGGTCTGTAAATTCTTCTTGATGTCTAATTTAAATCCCAACTTGGCGGACTCTCAAACAGGATCAGATAGGCAACTGCCTCCAGCTGCGGCTTCTTGCTGCCCTCAAGTGGCCACGTGACGAGCCACAACCCTCTCGTCCTGTGGGTTTCCTCTTTCCCGGGCCTGCCCACCCCCTGTCTCCGACCTCCTGCCTTCCCTGAGGTCAAGGTGAGAGGTCCCGGGACGGATTCCAGTTCCAGCCCGGGCGTCTTTGCACATTCCTCCATCTGGGGTACCTCGTGGTCTGTCTTACAAGAAGAGCTCAGGCTGAAACATAAACTTGGATATAGTAAAAGCAAATGTGTAAATTTTAATGTAAGGCTCTAGACTTTGAGATCGTAATCACCTGGAGGGTGTGTGTGTGTGTGTGTGTTTATTTTGTTTGTTTTTTGAGACAGGTTCTCGAACGTTGCCTAGGCTGGAGTGCAGTGCTGCGATCATAGCTCACTGCAGCTTCCAACTCCTGGACTCAAGCAATGGCGAGCGTATATGAAAACACAGATTTCTGGACTCCACCCTCAAGTTTCTAATTCACTAGGTCTGGGATGAGGGCAGAGCGTACCCAGGTAATCCCAGGACCACATTTTGAGAGCCAGTGCTGTTGAATCCCCAGTTCCTTGCAGTCCCTCACTGCTCCTCGTCTGCCAGTAGGAGAAAAAGCAAACAGCTCAGGAAAAATCAACACCCGGGACAAAAACTTCAGTATCCTCAAAAAGGTCAAAGAGGGGGCACCCGGATTTGAACCGGGGACCTCTTGATCTGCAGTCAAATGCTCTACCACTGAGCTATACCCCCTCTGCCGGGAGGTAGGCGCAGGTTGTCTCTTAGTGCTATTTCTGCGCAGGCGCCGTGTGGAGTTCCCGAAGGGAAGTGGAAATGGGGTAAGACGTTTACAAGAAATGGAAAAAATACAACTCCCAGAAAAATGACTCACTTGGAAGCAGGGGTTGTTTCCTGAAGGTCTGAGCTGAAGATTCCCACTGGCGGTGTAAGAAAATATATTCGTGGGGTGTGGAAGGAGTCTCTAGGAATATTTCACTTCGGGGGTGTCCTACTCTCCTGCCTTGCAGAAGCCCCCTTGGCACGTCTGGGAGCTTCTTTTTCCCTCGCACATGCTCACGCGGCTTCTCCCGGTCTGTCTTCTCCAGCCCAGCCCTTAGAAACTCAGCCTCCCTCCCGCCATGAAAGAGCCGTCGGGGTCACTGGCCAGGCTGACCTGGGGGTGCGCCCGCCTCCGCCCTGCCATTGCGAGGTTGAGCCACCCGCACCGTGTTCCAAGGGTCAGCCCTGAGCTCCTAGCCCTCACTCGTACTGCATTCCACCCTGGGATGCACACGCAGGCTGAGCCACTGGCAGGGGCTAGGACCCATCCTCACTCGCCTGCAAAAGAAAAGATGGTGGCAGGGCCCGAGACTCCCTCCCGTTCCATCTGTGCAGAAACTCTTTAGGTCTGAGACCTCCGGAGACCAAAACACTAAAACTTACGTACGCAAAGGGGGCACCCGGATTTGAACCGGGGACCTCTTGATCTGCAGTCAAATGCTCTACCACTGAGTATCCCCAACACACGACGGTCCTCATTAGAATAAATTTCTACGGAATAGGGGTGTGGCCTTCACTTTCCTTTAAAGTTTTAATCTGTGAGTTGCGTCCGGATACCTATTGAACAACACAAAATACAGTGGGAATGGCTAGAACTCCTAAGTTCTTCCTCCACAGTCACGCTTTCGGAAAAACAACTAGATTAAGGAATCTTGGGTCTCTATATCCGTGCCTAGACTCTCCCCCCAGATGTCCACTGACTGGCTTGAGAAAAGGACTGTCCCAGCAGTCGCCCCAGGTCTAGGGATGTACAGATTAACAGACTCTCCCCTTGTCTCCGGACTTTTCCAGCGCCCAGAGTCGCTCCTCCCCTTCTCTCAAACCAAAGCCAGATTTGAGGAACAGGACAGAGGAGAAGGCAGAAATAAGAGGTGAACAGTTTCAATAGCATTTATTACAGACTTATAAAAATCCTAATACAGTATATATTTTTTTTAAATCCTGGCTGGGCGCGGTGGTTCATGCGTGTAATCCCAGCACTTTTGGGAGGCTGTGGCGGGCGGCTCACGAGGTGAGGAGATCGAGACATCCTGGCCAACATGGTGAACCGCCCATCTCTTACTAAAATACAAAAAATTAGCAGGTCGTGGTGGTGCGCGCTTGTAGTCCCAGCTTACTCGGAGGCCGAGGAAGGAGAATCGCTTGAACCCGGGAGGCGGAGGTTGCAGTGAGCCGAGATGGCGCCACTACTGCACTCAGCCTGGGCGAGAGTGAGACTCCAAAAAAAAAAAAAAAAATCGTTGCACAAAGACAAAATAAGCAGCCCCTGTAGGAATCCGGTATATTTGGGAGGAGTGGGATTCACATTGGAAGGCACTAGAAGTGAAGGGGATGCTGTGGAGTGGCTTAAAGTCCAAGAACTGTGGTCAGAGTCAGCATCTCAGAGGGAATGGAAAGACGAGGAGTGGAATCTCTGCAGTGCAAAGGGCTGTCCCTATCTGGGACGTCCTGTCCTCCCTGCATTTCCCCTTACGGGTTTTTGCCTCTACCCTCTTCCCTTGAGCCCACCTTCTCCACCTTTCTAGATCTCCTGTGCCCAAAGGGAATGTGACAAAAATGGCTGAGGGGCAAAAGCCTGAGGGTGGGGTGGGTTGAGGAAATGAAAACCAATTCCAGGGGTGTCTTTTTTTCTTTCTTTTTTTTTTTTTTTTTTTTTGAGAAGGAGTCTCGTCTTCGCCCAGGCTGGAGTGCAGTGGCGCAATCTCAGCTCACTGCAACCTCCGCCTCCCGGGTTCAAAGGATTCTCCTGTCTCAGCCTTCCTAGTAGCTAGGATTACAGACTCCTGCCACTACGTCTGGCTACTTTTTGTGTTTTGTTTTGTTTGAGATGGTGTCTCGCTCTGTCACCCAGGCTGGAGTGCAGGGCCACAGTGTCGGCTCACTGCAACCTCCACCTCCTGGGTTCAAGCAATTCTTCTGCCTCAGCCACCCGAGTAGCTAGGACTACAGCCGTGCACCACCACCAAGCTAATTTTTATGTTTTTAGTAGAGACGGGATTTCACCGTGTTAGCCAGGCTGGTCTCCAACTCCTGACCTCAAGTAATCCTCCCGCCTCAGCCACCCAAAGTGCTGGGATTACAGGCATGAGCCACCGTGCCCGGCCTCAGGGGTCTCTTAATCTGCCCCCTAACACACACATTATTCCTACGGAGAGGTTGAGGGCTGAGGAGAGGGAGAGGGTTCCACTCCCTAATTCTGCAACATATCCAACATTTCCCTGACATCTCCAAGAAGGATGCCTGTGGCCATGGTGAGGGGCAGCTTATTCCGATGTGCTGTCTGCAGGAATCCAAGGTATGCAGTCCAATTCTCAGCAACGGGTTGGGAGAATGGTGTCAATCTCACTGTCCATAGCAGCCACTGCTCCCACCAGAGAATCATAAAAAAGTAATAAATAGCCACTTGATTTTCCACCCATGTTGACCATGCAAAACCCCAAAGTTTCTGATTGGCCTCAGACTGGAACATCAGTTAGCAACGGCCTGAGATTGCATCCACTGGAGTGCAGCAGGCAGCCTGCAGGGAGGGAGGAACAGGAGGGGTCAGCCTATCCCAAGAGGATGATGGCCTTCAAGTCCCCAGCCCTTTCCCAAAGCAGACTGGGTGCAGGAAGCAAAGTTACATCCAATCATTCAATTAACAGAGACAAACTGACTTGAGTACCTGCTGTGCATCAGGTACTGTGCAAGGCTCTGGAGTCACTGGTGAAAAGGCAGACATGCCCCTGAGGCTTACTGTCTGATGGAAGAGATAGATACTAAATAAATGGTCAGACACATAATTCTATAATTACATGCAGTGATAAAGGAAATATACAGAGGCCTCTGGATGCCTGAGAGTCAGGGAGGGCTTCTCTGAGGAAGGAGCCTGGAGACTCACCTTGCCCGGCCCCTTAGCTGTGTCTTTGGCCAAGGATTCTTCACGGTGATGTGTGCCAGAAAGAGGTTCCCTACGGGAGTTCCCCCATTAGACTGTAAACAACTCCGGCGCATGGGTGGAGCCTTGGTCATCTCTGTATCATCCTCAGCCTCGGTCTGGCACCACACAGGGAACACAGAGGGTACTTAGAAAATGCTGATTGGGCCAGGCGCAATGGCTCACGCCTGTAATCCCAGCACTTTGGGAGGCGGAGGCGGGTGGATCACCTGAGGCCGGGAATTCGAGACCAGCCTGACCAACAGGGAGAAACTCCGTCTCTACTAGAAACACAAAAATCAGCTGGGCATGGTGGCGCATGCTACTTGGGAAGCCTCGGGAGCAAGCAGAATCGCTGAACTCAGCAGACGGAGGTTGCAGTGAGCCGAGATCATGCATACACCTCCAAGCCTGGGAACACGGAGTGAAACTCACACAAATCAATCCAAAAATAAACGTGGCCTGGCGCACGTTGGCTCTACCTGTAAAGACCCAAGCATCTTTGGGAGGGGCCTGACGGCAAGGCAGATGACGAGGGTCAGGAGATCAAGACCATCCTGTGGATAACACGGTGAAACCCTCGTCTCTACTTCAAAATACAAAAAAAAAAAAAAAAAAAAAATTAGCCGGGCATCGGTGCAGGCGCCTGTAATCACAGCTACCGGAGGCTGAGGCAGAAGAACGGCGGTGAACCCCAGGAAGGCAGGAGCATTGCAAGTTGAGCCGAGACTCGAGCACTGCACCCGTAGCCGGCGCCCGGTGACAGAGCGCAGACGCCTTGTCTCAAAAAAAAAAAAAAAAAAAAAGAGAAAGATGCTGGCGGCGCAGCGTGCTCACGCCTGGGTAATCCTCAGCACTCGTTTGGAGGCGAGGGCGGGCGATCACGAGGTCAGGAGACCTCGAGAACCATCCTCCTTGGCTAACACGGTGGGAACCGCCTTTTCTACAAAATACAAAAATTCAGCCGGGGCCGTGGGTGGGGGCCGCCTGTAGTCCCAGCCACTCGGAGGCTGAGGCAGGAGAATGGCCTGAGCCCAGGAGGCGGAGCTTGCAGTGAGCCGAGATCGCGCCACTGCACTCCAGCCTGGGCGACAAAGCGAGACCCCGTCTCAAAAAAAAAGAATGCTGATTGAACTGACTGTGGGTTGTGGAAGAGGGTTCTCCTGACCCAGGGGGTGGCAAGGACACTGCCAGAAACATGTGGTCCCTTGCCTAAAGTCTCCCCTTCTTCAGTAAAACACATCTGGGCCAGGCATGGTAGCTCATTCCTGTAATTCCAACACTTTGGGAGGCCGAGGCAGGGGGATCGTTTGAACCCAGGTGTTTGAGACCAGCCATGGGCAACATGGCAAAACTCTCTCTCTACAAAAATACAAAAATTAGCAGAGCATGGTGGTGTGCGCCTGTAGTCCTAACTAGGGAGGCTGAGGTAGGAGGATCGCTTGAGCCCAAGAAGTTGAAGCTGCAGTGAGCCATGTTTGCACAACTGTACTCCAGCCTGGGGGGGCGACAGAGTGAGACCCTGCCTCGAAAAAAAAAAGAGATACCTGTGTACCCAGCCTGCCGTGATTCCGCTTGACAAGTAAGAGGAAAGGGAAACTTTCCAGGCCTGATGTAAGGCCCTTTCTACGTGGCCCAGCTCCTTCAAATCCTCCAGGTGATTACTCAGTAGCTATCTGCTCAGTGTCCCTTGTCAGGTAACTTGCCTAAAATTGCAGCATTCCTTCCACACACTTCCAATCTCCCTTTTCTTTTCTTTGTTCTTGTTTTTGGAAATGGGGGTCTGGATATGTTGCCCAGGCTGGACTCCAGCTCCTGGCCCCAAGCCATCCTCCTGCCTCAGACTCTCCAGTAACTAGAACTACAGGCATGAACCACCATGCTGGCCTAATCTGTGTTTCTTACTCTTTATTCACCTTATCATTTACCACTTTTTTTTTTTTTTTTTTACAGGATCTTGCTCTGTCACCCAGACTGGAGTGCAGCAACATGGTCAGAGCTCACTGCAGCCTGAAACTCCTGGGCTCGAGTGATTTTCCTGCCTCAACCTCATGAGTAGCTAGGAATACAGGTGTGTGCCACCACACCCAGCTTTTTTTTTTTTTTTTGTAAAGACAGAGTCTTGCTCTGTTGCCAAGGCTTTTCTCAAACTCCTTGCTCAAGTCATTTATCACTTTCTTTTTTTTTTTTTTAGATGGAGTTTCACTCTTGTTGCCCAGGCTGGAGTGCAACGGTACGATCTCGGCTCACTGCAACCTCTGCCTCTGGGGTTCAAGTGATTCTCCTGCCTCAGCCTCCTGAGTACCTGGGATTACAGGCATGCTCCACGACACCCAGCTAATTTTTGTACTTGTAGTAGAGACGGAGTTTCTCCATGTTGGTCAGGCTGGTCTCAAACTCCCGACCTCGGGTGATCTGCCCACCTCGGCCTCCCAAAATGCTGGGATTACAGGCATGAGCCACCGCACCCAGTCATCATTTTCTAACTGACTATATATCTTTCCTGTTCGCCATCTGCCTCCCCTACTGGAAAGTAAGCTCCATGAGGGCAGGGATTTTTGTCTGTTTTGCTCACTGCTGTTTCTCCAGTGCCTAGAACAGTACCCTGCACAAAGGAGGTGCTCAAGAAAGATTTGTGGACTGAATGGTGTCATTTACTCTACAGAAACTCTGGGAGGTATAATGAACCTCCTAATTACAGATAAGAAACTAAGCAGGGCATGGTGGCTCACGCCTGTAATCTCAGCACTTTGGGAGGCCGAGGTGGGCGGATAATGAGGTCAGGAGTTCAAGACCATCCTGGCTAAGATGGTGAAACTCTGTCTCTACTAAAAATACAAAAAAATTAGCCGGGCGTAGTGCCAGGCGCCTGTAGTCCCAGCTACTTGGGAGGCCAAGCCAGAAGATTTGCGTGAATCCAGGAGGCAGAGCTTGCAGTGAGCCGAGATCACGCCACTGCACTCCAGCCTGGGCAACAGAGCAAGACTCCGTCTCAAAAAAAAAAAAAAACCTGAAGGTCAGAGCGAATCAATGATTTCTGCCTGGAAGGCTTGTTCCCCAGGTCTCCCTGTGGCTGTCTCCTTCTCTTCATTCAGGTCTCAACTCAAAAGTTACCTCTTAGGAGAGGCCAGAACTGAATCAGACCTATCCCTCTCCCCTCCATCTCTGGTATCCAGTGGGATTCTGCACATCACTTCTCAGCACCTCAGATTATGGCAGCCAAGCATGGTGGCTCATGCCTGTAATTCCAACACTTTGGGAGGTCGAGGCCGGTGGATCACCCGCGGTCAAGAGTTCAAGACCAGCCTGGCCAACATGGTGAAACCCCATCTTTACTAAAAATATAAAAATTAGCCAGGCGTGGTGGCGGGCGCCTGTAATCCCAGCTACTCAGGAGACTGAGGCAGGAGAATCGCTTGAACGTGGGAGGCGGAAGTTGCGGTGAGCTGAGGCCGCACTCCAGCCTGGGCAACAAGAGCAAAACTCTGCCTCAAAAAAAAAAAAAGATTATTGCGTTTAGGTGGTGGAGTGCTACCTCTCTCTCCACTAGAACAAGCCCCTGAGAGCAGGGATGCTGTCTGCTCGTGGCTTACCCACCACATCTCACCTGTGGGGAGATGCCCAATTGGCTTGGCCCAGGAGCCAACTGTGAGCCAGATTCTCACAGGAGAGAGGCAGAAGAAGGGTTCTGATGGTCAGTCATCCATTGGTTCAGCCAGGCCTGGAGATCCAGGTGGGGCAGCCACTAACCCTTCTCCGGTGAGGGTACAGGAGCACAGTGGCCTTTGCTGGTCCTGAGAGGAAGGAAATAGGAGATCTCCACCGTCCTCACAGAGTCCTTCACGTCCTGCTTATTGGCAAAATCAGGACTGAAGCATCCCGCAGAGCCTGTGGATAGAGGAGCCCAGCCCCAGTCAGCCTGCTAGGGCCCAGCCTTCCTTCCTACTGCCTCACAGGTGCTCTCTGGCTCCCTCTCCCGCTGTCCCAGCAACAGAGGCCCATGCCTGGATGAGGCAGAGATGGGGGCCCTGCCACAATGGTAGCAACCACATCAAATGACACCAGCAGCTCATGGAAAGCCTCTTTATGACAATCCCATAGGTGGGAATTCATGATCCTCCTCATTTTATACTTAGGGAAACTGAGGATTAGAGAGGTGAAATCACTTGTACAAAGGCCCACAGTGAATGAAAAATGGAGTTCGAACTTGAACCAGCAACTCTGTCTTCTATAGTCAATTGCACTGAGGGTACTGATGCCCTTCATCAGGCACAAACCAGCCCTCCTCATGCTGCTGGTATGGAGACTCTCAGAAACTGGGACACCAGGAATTAATCTCAGAGAGGCTAAGTGACCAGCCTGAGGACACACAGTTAGTACCACTGGGCCCTCTCCCAACTGTAGGGGGGCTTACCTCATGGGCCAGCATTTTATATAGCTCCTCTCAAGCAGTCAGCAGCCGATCCCGGTCCGTGCTGTGAATCACAAGGATGACGAACTGGCAGGCTTTCTCTATGGTAAACATGTTTTCCCCCATCTCTGCACTGCCCAGACGCCAGGCTCAGATAAATGAAACCATGCAGCCTCAAGTTTTCACCACCCTGCTTCCATTATAATTGTCTTTGGCAGCTGGGATTACAGGCACATGCCACCACACCTGGCTAATTTTTGTATTTTTAGTAGCGATGCGGTTTCGCCATGTTGGCCAGGATGGTCTCAAACTCCTGACCTCAGGTCACCTTCCTGCCTCGGCCTCCCAGAGTGCTAGGATTACAGGCGCGAGTCACCACACCTGGCCTGTAATTGTCTTTTCTATCCAGACATGGGAACAGCACACCTCTGGCTGAGGCTGTGCTACATAAGCACTTGGTGTTCGTGACTCCATTTAGGCCTCATCACAACCCTGTGGACTTGGTACTGTTAGTATCCCCATTTTACAAATGAAGAGACTGAGGCTCCGTGAGGCTACATATCTTGCTCTTGACCACACAGCTGGTGAGTAGCAGTGCTGGAAATGGAACCCAACTCTGTCTCAGTCCAGGAATTAAACCACTGAATTCTACTCCTGCTGGAGTAAGAAGGTAAGGCCCTATAGACAAGGGGCCTACCCCATCCAGTGCATCAAACAAAGCTGCCAGCAGCTGCCAGGGAGTATTCAAACAGGTTAACAGGCAGGCACTGCACTGTGTTGAGTATCTGACATATATACATTACATATTGGTTTGTTATTTAATTTTCACAACAACTCAGGGAGATCATTATATATATGTATATATATAACTTTTGTTTTTTTGAGGCAGAATCTTGCTCTGTCACCCAGGCTGGAGTTTCAATGGCGTGATCTCGGCTGACTGCAACCTCTGCCTCCCAGGTTCAAGTAATTCTCCTGTCTCAGCCTCCCAAGTAGCTGGGATTACAGGCGCCTGCCACCACGCCCAGCTAATTTTTGTATTTTCAGTAGAGGTGGAGTTTCACCATGTTGGCCAGGCTGGTTTCGAACTTATGACCTCAGGTGATCCACTCGCCTCTGACTCCCAAAGTGCTGGGATTAGAGGCGTGAGCCACAGCAACCCGCCGATTATTATAATCTCTATTTCACAAGTTGAGGAACCAAGGCTCAGAGAGGTTACATGACTGTCTGATATCATACAGCTGCCTTGGAGCCCTGGTGCCCTCCTCACCTAGGTGTTGGTGATAAAACTCAGAGCCTCCTGCCCCACTATGTCCCACATGAGGAAGTGGGTCTTCTGCAAAATGATCTCCTCCATGTTGCTGCCAGTGGTGGAACACGTATGGACCACCTCATTGGTCAAGCTGGGGAGGTAGGAGAGGGCACCAAGAGCTCAGTCCAGCCTACTGCCAACTCTGGCCCCCAAATGCTCTACTCCCAAAGCAGGCTGAATCTAACTCAGAACAAGTCCACCGAGGTTCACCAAGCACCTGCTGGGAGCCAGACCCTGTGCTGGGCCCTGGGGAATGAAGACAGGAGTGAGACCAAGCCTTGTCCTGGCTTGGACCCCAGAGATGGGAAACATCTTCAAGCAGGCTCCTCAAACTTTATATCTTTTTTTCTTTTTATAGAAATGGGGTCCCACTGTGTTGCCCAGGCTAATCTTGAACTCCTGGCCTTGGGCTCCTGTCAAGAGATCCTCCTGCCTTGGCCTCCCAAAGTGCTTGGATTACAGGCATGAGCCACAGAGCCCAGCCTCCTCAAACTTTAACATGCAGTTGAATCACCTGAGAGTTTTGTCAAAATGCAGGTTCTGACCCAATGAGTCTGGGCTGGGGCCCAGGATTTTGCATTTCTTTCTTTCTTTCTTTCTTTCTTTCTTTCTTTCTTTCTTTCTTTCTTTCTTTCTTTCTTTCTTTCTTTCTTTCTTTCTTATTATTATTTTTTTTTCTTTTTGAGACAGAGTCTCACTCTGTCGCCCATTCTGAGTGGTAGGCCACAATCCACCTCCTCCTCAGGTTCAAGCCGAATTCTTCCACCGTCAATCTCCAGAGTGTTGGGATCACAGGCGCACGCCCTACGCCCCAGCTAATTTTTGTTATTATTTGTAGTGGGTTTCCGCATGTTTGGCTGGGCTAGTTTCTCGAACTCCTGACGCTCAGGTGATCTGCCCACCTCGCCCTTCCAAGAGTGCTGGGATTACAGGTGTAAGCCACCGCATCCAGCCACGGTTTTTGCATTATTTCATTCCTTCTTCTTCTCTTTTTTTTTTTTTTTTTTTTTTTTTTGAGATGGAATCTTGCTCTGTCGCCCAGGCTGGATTGCAGTGGCGTGATCTCGGCTCACAGCAAGCTTCACCTCCTGGGTTCATGCCATTCTCCTACCTCAGCCTCCCGAGCAGCTGGGACTGCAGGCGCCCACCACCACGCCTGGCTAATTTTTTGTACTTTTTTTTTTTTTTTCAGTAGAGACGGGATTTCACCAGGTTAGCCAGGATGGGTCTCGATCTCCTGACCTCGTGATCCGCCTGCCATTGCCTCCCAAAGTGCTGGATTACAGGCGTGAGCCACGCGCCCGGCCCCCTTTTTTTTTGAGATATAGTCTCTTGTCGCCCAGCTGGAGTGCAGTGTGCAATCTCACTCTACTGCAACCTCCGCCTCCTGGGTTCAAGCGATTCTGGCTACCTCAGCCTCCCAGAGTAGCTGGGAATTACAGGCGCGTGCCCTTATG